TGTTTTATAGGGCTACAACAATTTTGCTGTGTTCTGTAACTTCTTTAGTTCCCTCACCGCTGCAGCGAAGATAAATGGGCAAGTGTATTGTTAGTGCAACCTTGCAGAAAATTGTTTGTGACCAAACAATCCCAGAACTGAAGAGGGATTCAACCATATTGTTGTTCCCACTGCGTGCACTGCAGCGAAGTATATGTTTCCACAGCTGAACTTGGCCTTTTATTAAGCAAAATGTAATGATTGCAAAAGAGGCCAACTTTATCCTTGCAAAAGATTATATACAAATTAAGAATACAGCAGTACCTTTAGCTGGGCTGCTTTGTGTCTGCATTTTAACAAGCAGAGCTTTAAACTCCACACTCATAATTACAAGATTTTCTCTCATCTTCTATGTAAGCAATGTAATAAAGAAGAATTCCTTTGCTGATTCTCATGCACTGAAATTGTGGTATTTTCATTGGGTGTAAATCTAGAACAGCCTGGTAAACTTCAATGGGGTTTGCTACATAGGACTTGCACATAATTAAAGCTAATGCAACAGGAAAATATAAGCTGTAGCAGTTATTTTAATCAAAGTTTGAATAGGACACTGAGAGCTTTTAGCATTAATTTATAAATTGCCTTTGGCCATGCTGGGCTAGAAGTGTTCACTGTTGTTAATAATAAAAGTATACTGCTGTCTGTAAGAGGAGTAGCTTTGCTGTTTTGGCCACTTCACAGTATAGTGACCAGCGTCACTATAAACACCAAAGGGAATATAGAGCCCTCTGTCAACTGTTCATTTCTGAGTGTTGTAACTTGCTTGTTTAACTATCTAGAGTGAGTTTTTGAAATCTCTGTAAATATTCTGGGATATGACTGTGTATATCACAGTTGCCTGTCTGTAAAACAAAGTTAGCTTTCTTAAAGCTATATTTTGACTTCTGGATTTATAATTTTGGAACTTATGTAAGTGTCTAAACAGCTAAAAATTCAACTACAATCACCTGGGGTTTTGCAAGGTGGCTTCATGTTTGCAAGAATCCTGTTGTTCTTAAATATGATGGGCTTCTTAATGGTATTGAAAAAGAACTTAATGAGCAGGTAAACCTGTGAGAGGTGCAGATGCCTAGCGTGTGCGTCACCACAGTACAGAAATACCAGAGGCTGATACCATGAAGTCTCAGGAGAAGATACTGCCTATAATTAGTGTCTTCTGTTCCAACTTTGCAGGGAGACTTTGAGACTATGTGGGAGACAAGCTTATGGCAGAAAAGCATGGAAGATTGGGTGTTGAACTTCATTTTGAGTTTTGTTTCTATTGCAGGGAACAGTGGAGGGTAAATCTGTTGCTTTTAAAATCTTAAAATCTACATTTCGTAGCTGCCTTCCTCAGTTATCTGTCTGTATTCAGACATAATTTCTCTTTAATTTTGAAGTTGAAAGATGGAAATACACTGGAGTTTTATATCATTCCTCAAATAAAAAAAGTTAATAGCTTTCAGGTGACTGGGCTCTACTATTCCTGTATGATTTTTTTTTTCCCCCCAAATCTGATAAACTTGTTTGTGTTTAAAAATTTCCTTACTGAAGGAGCTCTGCTGATTCTCCAATGGCTCTTTGGAGGCATGAAAAAATTGCTTTCTGGATGCTACCTCATACCTGTTCTGTCCTCAACAGATCCATGTGTTACCTTGCATGCCCTGCTGCAAATCACTAGCTCTTGTTTCTGTATAGGGACCTGTAATTTGTTAAAGCTCTCACATCTGTTCTGTGTAACCTAGTCTGGCAGTGCTGGACCTTGCAGTAATGAGGACAGGATGAATAGTTACTCTTACGTACAGTTGGCATAGGGAAAGTGATTTATTTGCTTTGCAAGCCAATGTATTTTATGTTTTTTTTGCCCGTGTGACAAGAAGACTCTAGGAGAAGGCTGTTTCCTGATACTAGGGAGAGAATGAGAAGTCATGTCCTCCCAGTTAGTAACTCTCCTCAAAGTCCACTGAAGACTGACCAAAACTCAGTGTAAATAAACCTCTGGCACCTCTCCTCACCTTTGTTTTGGTGGCTTTTGAGTAAATAGTAAGGTTATGTTTCTTCTCGGAAGTATTTGATTGCCAGCTGCGTGTGATCCCCATGTTGGCCCTCAGAGTCTTCTGGTTTCTTTGCTGGGTCTGGTGTGGGTGGCAGCGCTGCCCTTCAGCAGACTGAGTCTCTCACTTCTTTATCCTTTGCCATCTGCCAGCGTGTGTTGTCTGCCAGCCTCCTGAAGTCAAACACAGAGGGCAAGATAAATCCAAACTGACGAACATGATTTTGCCTGTGAGCAAATTGAGTGACATCAAAGTGCATGTGTGACAGCTCGCAGTGCTTCAGGGTTTGGCAGCCAGTCGGAGTGCCTTGCTGCACTGCTCTGTCTCTGGGAAGGTGAATTTGGAGTCAGACAACTCTCTGATTTCTTATTGTTGCTCACTTCTCGGTTAATCCTTCATATTCTTCATTGATTTACTTTTGCGGGGGAGGGTAGGGTATAAGGTCATTACCCACTTGAGCTACTCGCAAGTAAGTTGGATTTTGTACTGTAAGTGGATTTTGTGCTAAAATTAGTGCATAGTTTGATCTCTGCTGGAAAGGAGCTGTACTTTAGTCTTTAGAGTTTTCCTTTGGGGTTTGGCAAATATTAATAAATCTCTATTGCCATACAACTAAGAACCTTATCCCAAGCATTTTACAAACATAGAACGTGAAAGTGTTTACAGTCTGAATTAAAAAGATGGAGAAACTGGAATAATCACAGTACTGCTCAGGGTAAGTAGCAATGGTATTAGCATAATGCCAATAAGCATTGCTGTGTTCTTGCTCCTTCGTTAGCAAGGAGGGGTTTGAAGGAGTTCAGGGATGTATTTTTCCAGCTTGGCTGAGGGTGAGGGTTTTGTGACCAGCTTCAGTTGGTCGAGGGAGCTGCACTGTTGCAGAACAGCATGTTCCCACCTGCTTGTCTCTACCCGCACCACTGCTCATGCGGCTGGGCACTCACCGGGATCACTTTGCTGCTTTGCATTCAGATGTGTTTTCTTGTAGGGTTAGTTTTCACTGAAGGCAGGGATAGCATCTGGTTGACCCTAGAGGTATCTGAGCACTAGTTGGTCAGAAAGGTGGTGAGACTGGGTGGGGAGCAACATATGGGTTCCTGAGGACTGACTTCACCTGGGATGCAGTTTCACAACTCCTTTATTGGCTCTCAGGTGGTGACTATGCTTTTAGCAAGGCAATATATTTGCTCTTCTTTCAAATGTTAATGTGAATAGCTAGCATGTTTTTGATTTCTGTGACAGCAGTATCTGAAGAACCAGGGTGCAGAATATATCATTAGCACCTCTTGTTGCGCAAAGAGCAAGTAGTTTGTGCCTTGTAAATCCAATCCATCCTGTTTGTGTAATAAAAACATATTATAGCTCAAGGTGGCACCCTCTGATTGATTGGCCTTATCAACTAAAAGACAGGGCAGCCTGCAGTTCTGTGTGCAGGGGCAGCAGCAGAGAACATCAGACAGTCTTATGTGCTGACACTTTATAGGCCTATTTTTTAAAAAAATCTTGCTCTTCAGGCCTTGCAAACTATGTTTTTTGCCTTACCGAAATGAATAACACCATGCCCAGAACATTTCCCATCGTAGAAATGGATTGCTTAGATGTAATGTTGTGAAAACACATGCACAAACAGCTTCTGCTGCTTTGTAGAAGTCAAGTGCATTGAATCAAAACAAGGATGTTTGTGAAAGTTATGCTTAATCAATTGGTAGCTTTTTTTTTCTCCTTTCTTCCTTTCCCCTCAGCTGTGGTCCCTGAAATGCAGCTTAAAGATGGAAACAGACTTGATGGAGGAGCATGGCTATTGGATGCTGGTGAAAATACTCTACATAAGATTTTTTTTTTTTTTTTCTGGTTCTTAGATATTTGATTCCCTACTTCTGGCAAATGGGTTAATCGAGTTTCTTGGTTATGCAACAAAGGCAGTTTCTTGATGCATTTGCTTGTAAACAGTTTGATAAAGGGACAGCTTCTCAACGATTTGCTGAAAGGACTTCTTGCCATTGCTGCAATACAGAATGAAAACAAGCACACGGCAGTTTCACGGGGTGTAAAAACTGTGGCCAGTTCTTGGCTGTGTCAAATGGAGTAGCCAGCTATGCCAGTCTGCCCTGCTCTTTCAGTGACAGAGCTCTTGCAGGCTCTGAATTCTGAGGGGGGAAAAAAAGAGGGAAGAGCTGAAGATGGATCCTGTTCAATCAGGTTGTTCAGCCCTTCTCCTGTTTAGAGCGAGGCTGTCCAGCAGCAAGGAAGGTAGCTGAGGCGGGCTCTGTTTTTCACAGGTGAGGTGCAGTTCCTGACAGTTGTGGAAAGCGGCCAGAGCTATCATAGAATCATAGAATGGTTGAGGTTGGAAGGAAGTGGAACTTTTGATGCTTCAGTTTCTGGCCGTTTCCTTGCTTGGTAGCTCCCAGCTACCAGATTGTGCAGTGTGCTCACGGCTGACATGCAAACTTCTTGCTAGCAGGAGCAGCCAGGTCCTGTGTAAAGCTGTAAAATGAGGGCACAAATAGGCACAGCTGATGACTTTGAGATTGTTGGAGGTTTCCTGCAGCCAGTAAAAGTTGGAATGACAACTTTTTCCCATACAGTGCCTTATTAAAAAAGAAAGCTTTATACCCACCTGGGATAAAGACTAGTTCTATAGTATAGCTGTCAACACTTTCTCAAGAATCCTACAGATCAGGCTGCTTTAGAATTATTTGCAGGTGTGTTTGTTTCAATGACAGTGATGCTTGGAGGAAGGTTAACAACTTCTTTCCTTTTTTTTCCTCAGTTTTTTGCCATTTTATGCTTTAGTTCTGAGTAAATGGTTAAAGTTGTTTAAAGCCTTACTTAAAGATGTCAGGTGTTTTATACTTCTGTTGTGGTGCCCTTAATGCTCTTAAGTTGTTTGCCTTTCTGTGCTCTTAGGGAATGTTTCTTGCTAGGCCCTTTTTAAGTGAAAAAGGGAGTGATGTTACAGTTGTTGGGCTTCTGCTCACTGAATTTGCAGGGAAGCTGCCTGGGCAATGAGGAGCTTTCAAGTGTGATCTGTCTTCCTGTCCTGCATCGGCCAACGCAGTGATCAGAATGTGCTCGGACTCACTTCTTTTTCTTAGGTGGTGGTTGTTTTTATACCGTGTATGGTGTGTTAAGTTCCGTGCCCAGCATGTGGAGAAGTTGCTACTTAACTTTACAGTTCAAAACTATAGGGCCAAACACTCAACTAGGTGAAGTTTCTTGTTCTAGAGCAGTTGCTGTCTTGGTTAAGGTAATACCGTGCACTTGGAGGAGAATATAAGAACATGATAGGAGCTATATAAGAGCCAAAGACAAATCGGGCTGGGGCAGGAGCAGAAGAAAACCCTGCAGGACATGGGTCCTGCACATCAAGTGTGTCCTGTGGCTTCTTCTGAGAATGTGTTAATGTATAAACTTGTAGGAAAATGATGTTGAAGATGAAGATCCAGAGCAGAAGTGTGAAAGTCTCTGTTAGTTCAAGATCTAAAATATTTAACTTTTCAGTCCAATTACTTTGAGTTTAGCCCAATGAAAGGAGCTTGCAGCAGAGTAAGTCTGAGTTTTTAACCTAACATCAAACACTTGGGTACGGCATGTAAGGCTATGAGACAGGTGATACCAAACTATATCCAGGATTTTTAAATTCCAGCCCTTGTATCTGTTGAGATGCCCTTCAGAGTATGCCTAGCTGGCAATGGAGCCGTTGGCTTCCCCCAGTCTGTTGGACAACCTGGGATGCGTGGATGTGTTTCCCAGTTAGCGCTTCCCGTGTTGGCTTTGAGACCTGCAGGTGACACTGACAAGTCCTAGCCTTAGGTGCTTAACTGTTGTGGTGTCTTTTTTGTTTGTTTTGCCTCTCTGCCAGCGGTTGGAGGATGGAGAAAGGGGATTTAGATTTTCTGTTAGAAAGAAGTATTGAGGGAGAAAAGCCAGTGAATGCTCAGAGGACAAGGATAAAGGAGAGAGCTAATGGTCGTGTTTGTGCAGCACAGCCTTTAGCTTTGGTCTTAGGCAGCTGTGCTGGGAGGCTTGGAGCAAGGAAGGGCCTCTCCTCCCCAGTGCCCACACCTGCACACAAAACACAAGGCCTCAACAAGAACTTTCAGTCACTAAGAGCTGTAACCTCCCATGTCTGGGCAAGGCTGTTAAATGCAGGCTGTTAAGAGCAGCTGTGGGGTGAAGATGGTGCTTATAGGGCACAAATCACAGTGAATGGATCTCTGCTTTCTCCCATCTGTAGTATTTTGCAGGAGGATTTATGCAGCTAGATATCCTTTGGAAGGAGGGATGCTCACTCTGTGCTATATGTAGTCACTGTTCTCTGTACATCACCTCAGAAGAATAAGCTCCACTTAATTTATAAGGCATCAAAGCAGAAATTTCATAGTAACTTATCTAGGATGGGAGAAGCTTGTGTTAAGTGTCTAGATTCTGGGGTTGCTGGCTGTTTTGAGATGGGTCTTAGTCTTGCTCGCTCTTCAGAGAAGCTTGAAGAGAATTTTGCTTTGTGTCATTCTTGAACAAGAAAGTAGGTTGCCGTCTTTGAGATGGGAGCTCCCTCCTGATGATTACTGCATTATATCTCTTTCCTCTTTCATTATGATGAAAACAAGTGGAATCATTCAAATAAAACCTACTGAAAGGAAGATACTTTACTTGTTTTAGTAAGTAATTCAGTAATTCGTCTTTTCTGTTATACTTTTGCAGCACTTGTAATTTAAATTTGGAGTACTAAATAAAGAATACTTGTTCAAACTGGACTATATCTTTTTTTTTTTTTTTTTTTTGTTCAATGATAACTTTCATCTTTATCTCATTTTTTTTCCCCCTCAGTTGTTTGTGATAGATGTCCTAACTGGTCAAATCACCAAGATTCCTATTCTGAAAGATCGTGAGCCTGGCATGGTGAACCAGCCGGGCTGTGGTATTCATGCCATTGAGCTCAACCCCTCAAGGACCCTTCTGGCTACAGGTGGAGACAATCCCAACAGTCTTGCAATTTATCGTCTGCCTACGCTTGATCCCGTCTGCGTGGGAGATGTAAGTGGAAGAATTTGGGGAAAATTTACTCTGACTTGTGAAAGTTAGTGCTTTGAAGGGCCTAAGGTCAGAGCAAGGTTAGGATTTGGGAATCTGATAGTCAAGAGTAAATTTCTGAAAGTCTGAGTGGGTATTACTAATGATTTTTTTATATATATAGCTATGGATGAGTAAGTAGCCAAATGTGTGAGAATACTCTCTTGATCTTGATTTCTTCCTTCTAACTTAATTTAGGTCCATTTCAGGTTCCTTTTTAAGTATCAAAACCTGCCCAGCTCCTAAATGCTAGTAAAATCTAATTGTCATGGAGACCTCTGAGACACAAAACCAGTTTCAGTGAAAAATCTCTGAGAAATTTAAGAAAGTGATATAAAGTCATGCTTTCCCCTTCTCTAGTGCTGCTTATGTGTATTATTCTGAAGGCAAAACTTGCCTTTGGGGATTTGTCCTAACCCTGTGACTTCTGCTAGTTTGCTATAAGCCACACGAGAGTATTTTTGTCATTAGGCTTTTTTTTTCCCAAGTTGCCTTTAAAAAAAAAAAAAAAAAGTGTGCACGCTAAAGTGAGTATAGTGGTGTCCTGTAAGCCCTTCTCTCTCCTTTTTTATTTCTCCTTTCTTTGGAATTAGTATTTCATGTAAATGTTAACTGCAACAGCAGAGGTCAGGATTTCTGTGGAAGCAGATAACCAGCTGCAGCAAAGCTCCCCTCTGAAGATTTTGATTCATTTTCATGCTGCTGTGACAATGCAGCTCTCCAAACAGAGCTGGAGCCTCATGCTTTTGCCCACAGGTTTCTGATTAATTGAAGAAAAGATTCTTGAAAACTAAGTTTTGGAAAAAGATTTTCGTAATGTACAACTGTTTTTCTGTAGGTCATATATTATAAATAGTATTTTAATCAGTATTTTGGTTACTAATCTATTGTGGACATATATATTTGAGGTAATGAAAGTATCTGACTATTTTGCTGAAATAAAGTGCTGCTTTCAGAGGGAAAAAGTCTAAATCCTTACAACTGAGGACAATTCATATTTGATGGAGGCCTGACTTTTCATCACCTAGTGGCTTTGTAGCATCACTTAGTTTGGCATTATGCATTAAACTAGTCTTTTCTGTATCATGATTTTACATATGTCTAATCGGAGCTAAACACTAGACTGTTCAAAGAATATCTGCAGTCTTTTTTTAGACCTCCCTAGGATGTAACAGCTCAGGGGATCTGACTTTCTTCCTTTCTTTTAGGATGGGCACAAGGACTGGATATTTTCAATCGCATGGATCAGTGATACTATGGCTGTTTCTGGTAAAGTCAAGCTTTTTTTTGTGAATATCTTAGAGTGAAATAGAGCACCTGCTAGCTCATAGGGTGATGCATTTATTCAGGCATAAGCAGGAGCCTTGTTTGAGTAGTAGTGTTAATATGGCAGTATCCTTGTTCCCAAACCTTCATGATTTTCTGTGATTGTGGAGCTAGGGTAGGGGGAAAAACAAAACTTCCTAGACCAGTACGTTGGCATGTACTATCCCTATCTGCTCATCTCCAGAAGACGACATGAATGGGACCAAAGAGTAGTTGGGCTTGAAGGTAGATGGGGCCTAAATGGATTCTAGTTTGGTTCTCTGCAGTGAAACAAATCTCAGTTGAATGACTGCCCTTGGGATCCTAATTATATTTGCTGCTTTTAATCAGCAAGAGGAAAGAATTTCCTCAAGAGGGAGATACACTTCATGCATGGTCTGTTTTCTTCTGGAATGGTGTCTCTTTCTGCTCTCTGAAGGGAGCCTACGGTTAGACAAATTCTTAGCTTCAGAGGGATGAATGCAAAGGCAGGTGCCAAGCCTTGCAGTGTCATTGCTAAGACATTTTCTACATGTGTTTCATACCTTAACCCAGTTAACTTTCATTTCTTGAGGCCTGCCTCAAACTGTAAACAACCATTGCAAAAGGAAAGATTAACCACCCTGGGACCCTGGTTAGAGCTATTGATGGGGATGAAAAGTGAAATCTTAAGAACCCTTTTACTGTGCATGACCAGCACTTCAGAAACTTTCTGAAGTTTGTTCTCTAATTATTGAGCCTAGTATGTTGCTTAATCTCTATTTGACTTTTTTGTAACTCTTTCTGTTACTGTGTTTTTAAGAGGTTGCTCGGAGTGTGTGTTGGGGATAGCTACCTTTAAAACCTCTGGAAATAACCATGGCCATTTAAGCCATTCTCAATCTTAGGGTTAGCTTTGTTTTATTTGCAGAGCCCTGGTCCTGTTTTTTCCTTATGAGAAAAAATCCTATTCTCTATTGAATGGTACTATGTTAGCGTCACTAAAGTTAATGAGTTATAGCTAAGGATTGGCACAATAAGAGAAAATTCTAGAGGGATGTTAGTTAACAGTTCATAACTTTGAAATTCATCAGAGCACTATCAGTTTCCTGACAAATGCCTTGAAAGACTGATTAGCGAAGTCAGCTTGTTATCCACCCATTATTCTAAGTCTGTGTATTCACCATAGCATTTAGTGCAGAAACCTGTAATCTAAAACAGTGGTTACTGGCTTTTTTGTAGCTAGATGGAGTATCAGTGTAACTTAAATATTACCGATATGTTTACAATATCAATATGCTAATGCACTAACATAATTCTTTCAGTGACAACAGTAGTATTCCATGTAGAGAGGTGCCGGGCTGCAGAATGCCACGTATTTTGTACAGGACCCTCAAACTAAAATTGTTAGGCTGGTATTTTTTTCAGAAGGAAAAGTGGCTAATCTTGGGATTTGATTTTTTTTTCCCCTTTCGATTTAATATAAATGCTGAGTAAGTCTCCAAACTAAAATTCTGCATTAAAAAAAATCATTAAAGCAGTAAGCCTGAAGAGTGAGGAAGACTTTGTCCCTGGGGAAAGAGAAGGACCCAATGGAATAGAGAAAGGCAGCATGGGAAATTGAACTATGTTGCTCTGAATGTTTTCCATGTGCTCAAGAGGGGAAATGTGAGCAGCATAAAGCTATGTCTTCTCTGCTCTATGAAATTTCAGACAGGATGCACTTGCTAATCTCCAAATTTGTGAGATAGAAGGGGAAAATTTCTCAACATGGTTAGAAAGTCTGATTGCTCAAGTGAGTTCTTCTGAACTTGGCTAATGATTCTAGTCAGGAGGCTGCAAGTGCAACTAACTTCTGACATTGTCCTAATGTCACAGACTGCATTTACACTTGTACCTGAAAGTGTGGAACAACAAGTATTTGAACTTAAGAGACTTGCTAGGAATTATCAAATACCTCTATTTAAACAGAGGAACTGAAGGCAAATTCCTGTCACTGCCTTGAGGCAGGAAGGAGAGATGGGCATTTGATCCTATGGCAGTCATGTCATTTAGCCAGATATTCAGCAGTATGTTGTCTTATGTGGATATTTCGAAATGTCAAAACGCTTGAGAAAGTGGGAAGTGGGCCAAGGTCTTGGTAATTCCTCTTACTTGTGCTAATTTCAACGAGGAATACAAGGATATGTTTCTAAAATGTACAGCAGTGAATTTAACTAGTCCAATAAGCATGAAATTAAACTTCTTGACCTAGAGCTGTCAGCTAAAGCTGAACATGTTGGTTGCTATATTGACTGGACAAGAAGATTTTCATGGCAAAAGCAACAGATGGGATGAGTAATTCCCATGATGATAGGAGTTCAAGGTAACAAGTGGTCTTCAACTTGATAGCCCTGAAGCAAAGGAGAACAACAGGCATTGACTTGCCCCATTTTCTCCACTATTAAAAGGAACGACTTCCCCCTTAGCATCCTAACATGTTTTAGAAACTCTACTGCTGAGTACTCCTCCTCCATAACGAAGATTATGTGCTACGAGCGTGTGAATGGTGTGGTGGGATGGCCTTGCCTGCTGCTCTGCAATGCCATTAGGAAGCTCTTCTGTGGTTGCCTGTAGCAGGCAGTGACAGTGGCAGAAGCAACTTCTGCTGTGATGGGCCACCAGCGCTGCAGCACCATGTTCTTGCTCCTTAATTTTTCTCTGACTCTTAAGCTTGTTTCTTGGAAGATGATGTACCAAGCACTGTAAAACTAGCAGTCTGGTGCTGATGTGGTTATTCAGGGTTTTTTTTCCAAGAACTTTGAGACAGGAAATATTTCTTATGCCTTCTCTATGAGGAAAGAAGGAATATGGTTTTTTCACATTGTATATGGAAGAAATTTTGTTACGTGTCAGATCTGCCAAAGCAGAGTTAAGTTGGAGTTGTCTAGATGCCAGAGAGGATTGATATTAGGGCTTGGGTTAAACCTTTGTTCTATAAACCAAAGACTTCAGTCTGTTCTCTTCATCCAGTATTACGACTCTTGATGCATATTTGGGATTATGGTAGAAAAGTAAAGAGTTCTTGCTTGCTCAGCCTTAGCTCCTGCATTGTGTTCTTTTTTTAAACATGATGTTGCATGAGTTTGAAGAAATATTTTAAATTAGACTTGATCCAACTCTGTAAATTGTGTCTTAAAATAGGTGTTTCTGTTCAATTCACAGCAGTGTTTCCTCCCTGCCCCACAAATAGAATGAACAAAAATTGACATGAACCTAATGAAGAATTTTCTTACAGGTTTCATGCTGATTTAATAAGCTCAGTCAGTCTTGGTCTTCGTATGCCAGACTAAATGTTTATGAAGAGGCTTTTGTAGCCATCCACCAAGTTTATTCTGTGTGTGTGTCAGTTCGTAATTATGCACAGCACTGCCTCTTGTGATGACTACTGTCAGTTTGAAAATGGTTGAGGTGATGGTAGCTGTCCAAGTGCTCTGTAGCTGTTGATAGATCTTCATAAGTTCAATGTTCTGAGCCTCATAACTTAGACCATTTCTTCTTAATATTTAAGCAATGGTGATATGTTCAGCTAGGTTAGCAAAGTTGTTATTTATCCAGACACTGTTTACCTCAGTGCCTTTTTTTCTTATTTTAAGAAAAATGTCAAATCGTGAAATTTTTTTTTGCACTGTTTATTTAGGTTCCAGGGATGGTTCGATGGGTCTCTGGGAAGTCACAGAGGACGTGCTCTCCAAAAGTGATGGCAGGCATAATCTCTCCGAAGTTCCTGTGTATGCCCACATAACCCACAGGGCTCTGAAGGATATTCCCAAGGAGAACACCAATCCTGACAACTGCAAAGTTCGAGCATTGGCTTTCAACAATAAGAACAAGGTTGGTAAGATAAGCAAGGTGGCTGGAATAAGTCCTAAAAGTGTCCGTATGTATTTAAGTGATTTAGATCAAGTATACTGGAAATGCAGCCTGATTCTCTTACATCTTTGTATCGGATGACTATTGTCTGTTATTTCTGTTTCTGCCCCAAATAAAAAGAGAAGATCTAGATGGAGAGGAAGGAAGAATGAGAATGAAGGTTTCCTGCTTGATGCTAAGTTTTGTCTGGAGTGTGTGCATGAGCCTGTGGTGGGAGAAAGCTTGCAACAAGTAGATAAAATACTTCTTGCAGCTTGGCTCCTGCTCTTGGTGCTCTCTCCTTTTGTGAAGAATGGGTAATGTTCAGGTAGTGCCTGTTCTGAATGTTGCTGAGCTGTTGGTGGGTTGTTCAGCAATGAGGTGACTGACACAAGACAAACACTGGTACCTGCTTTGGTGGTGCTTTCTTGACATTTGACAAATACTGAACACAAACTTCTCCCATGCCCTTATTTTGTTATTATTAAGGATGAATTCCACTGAAGGAAGTGGGGAGTAGCAGTTTTTCCTCTGCTGCTTTTGTCTCTGCCCTTAAACGAACAGAGAAGGTTTGGAGCGAAGACTGTTCTCTGAAGGAGCCAGTGCTGTCTTGTGACCGTTATTTTATATTGTAGCTGCTAATTAACCTTTGGAGACCTCATCTAGCTTTTTCAATAGAGTAGTGCCTGGAAATAAATTATTACCTCAGGGTAGGATCCAGCGTGGGAGCTGCTGGAGAAAATTGTCAGCTTTGGCTTGTACTGTGCAGTGATTCATTATTTGATTGTTTGTGTAACAAGATTTATATTTTTTAGGTTATTATTTGGTTATTTACTGTTTTATTGACTGTTATTTCACCAAGCACCTTTTTGTTGTATTGTATTCCATCAATCAATATAAAATGAAACCTTGTCTTAATAAGCCTGTACAGGGTTATGGGTGAGTTCAGCCTGGAATAGGCAGCCTGACTCAGAGTCTGAGTTTGTAAGGGAATTGATCATACTGAAGCTAACTTTTTTTTCTTTGTATTTAACGTACAGGAGCTGGGAGCTGTATCCCTAGATGGATATTTCCATCTTTGGAAAGCAGAACACACACTATCAAAGGTACTTTTCCACTTGATGTGAAATTTCAACAATAATCTAGCAATTCCCAAATTTTTGTCTACTTCAAAAGCTTGAAGAATGTACAGCAGTGTCTGTAAAGTACTTAATGTTAAATAAACTCCTAAAAATAAATGTAAGAAGAAACTTCCTGACTCCCTTATTTTGAAGGACAGGAGGTGATCTTAGCTCTTTTTGTTCTGGGTGGGCTGCAGTTCACTCTTACGTAGAGAATGGTGAACTCATGATTAGCTGAGTTCATAAAAAGTTGTGCTGTTTAAAGTGCGCTTGCAAATTAAAACCAGCCATACCTATGCTAGCATAGGAGGAAAACTATGTCAGCTGGGAGGTGATGTGTCAGTTCTTATGTTTAAGTCTAAGCTGTTACTCCTTGAAACAATATTCCAATTTCTGTGGATCAGGTTGCTGCTGTACTCTAAGTTGTATTTAGTGACAAACCTATTTTCTAGCTGCATTTTTGCTTTCGCACTACAAATATTCTGAACATAATTTATGGAATTGTTTTATTAACTTCTTGCTCTTTTTTTTCTGTGTTTCCAGTTACTTTCCACAAAGTTGCCATACTGCAGGGAGAACGTGTGTGTGGCCTATGGTCTGGAGTGGTCGGTGTATGCAGTAGGATCACAGGCCCATGTCTCCTTCCTGGATCCCAGGCAGCCTTCTCACAATGTTAAATCCGTCTGTTCCAAAGAACGAGGCAGTGGTAAGGAACTTTGCCTAGGTAGGGTGCTTTAGTTTCCTTGCAGAAATAGCATTTAAGGTTGGGGTATGACAAACTGCTAATATGTAGGAAGACCTTTTCATGTGACAGAATAAAATATCAATAATATGTGCAGATTTCCCCTTTTTATACTAAGATTACTTAAAGCAAACTAAGAGCATCTCTGAAATCATGTGGTAGACAATATTAGCTCTTTCATCATGCTTAGTTAAGTATTATGTGTATGGGGTACAATTTATCAATGCATATGTTCTAATTCCACACTATAACTCCATTATTGAAACTTCATCTGAGAATAAATCCAGTGTCTGTACTGTTACTAACATTGTCTGTTCTTGTACTTTCCTCTGGGAGTGGAGCTTTTTATCATATTGGGAGTCCATGCTATGATTGCTCTCCTTGTCATTTTAAAGCAAAGACTGTGACTTTGATTATTCAGTACTGAACTCAAGTGTTCACTCTTGAATTTCCTGCAGATTGGAGTGCTCTGTTTTCAACTGTAGTTTCTCTTTTCTACTCTGTGCACTGGAACCCATGTGAGAGCTTGCAGGGTGGATGGTCCCACATGCTTCTCTCTGTGACTTATATTTTGAATCATGACAAATCACTGTGGTGCAATCTGCTACTTAATCCATACTAATCCATGACTGATAAGTTGCAGTTCTTGTTTAGCTTGGCTCTGAGCACCCATCTCCTTTTTCAAGATGGAATTTATCAAAATAAGATGTATGTAGACAAGTGTTAGGAAGGTTACTGATGTTTGAACAGTGCTGCCTAGATGGATGTCAGGGACTTTCCTTTCATTCCTGTGAGGATTTTCTACAATGTGAGAATTGGTGCTTGACAAACTTAGGCCGTCACTTGAACAGCATCTGCCTGCCCTGCCCTCAGTGAGGGTGCTGTGGAGCCTGCTACTCTTTGCTATCATGGGGAACAAGTACCATGACACTCGACTGTTGCCCAATGGTTGTTGGTAGCTAATTCAGTCTTGAGTATGTGATTATTTGTGCTGGAAATTATATATCAGGGGTTCTCAAACTACGGCCCGCGGGCTGGATACGGCCCCCCAGGGTCCTCAATCCGGCCCGCCGGTATTTACAGAACCTCCCCGCCCCTCCCCCGCCGGGGGTTGGGGGGGAGGAAACCAAGCAGACGCAGATGACTTCCTGCCATTTAATCTGTGCGCCGGCCTCCGCAGCCCCCAAGCACCCACCGGGACTGGGCTGAAACCAGCGCCTCGTCCTCGACTTGCCCCCCGCAGGGGGCGCCTCTCGGCTACAAACCGCGCCTCCTCCTCCTCCTCCTCCTCCTCCACTGACTTGTTTCTGCATCAAGGATGCACGTATGACGGTGACATACAGTGATTCTAGTAATACTTGTGTCATCAGCAGCCAGCACCAGTGGGAAACGCGCGCACCATCGTGTCAAAAAAAAGAAACATTGACTCCGAGTGCAGGGTATTCCAAGAAAAGGGGACTTCTGATTATTTTTTTCACGGCGTACAAAGAAAGAGCTGTTTGTCTGATATGCCAGAGTTCAGTGTCTGTGTTCAAGGAATACAATTTGCGTCCACACTACAAAACTCAACAAAGATAAATATTATTCTTTGGTTGGACAAGTGAGAAATGATAAAATATTAAGACTGAAACATGAATTGACAAGTATTTTGCTGAGTTTTGTGAAGCAAAAGCAGCTCAATATATCATCACTTCGAGCAAGCTATCGAGTTGCCAAGCTCATAGCACGCACTTGCAGAGCATTCATAGCATAGAGGGAGAATTTGTTAAAGAATGCCTTCTTTCTGTTGCCAAAGAGGTATGTCCAGAGAAGGCGGATTTGTTTAGTACAGTGAGTTTTTCAGGACCTACAATTACACAAAGGATTGAAGAAATGGGGGAAAATTTGAATCTGCAGTTGCAAAACTCCTCAAAAAAACTTCACTACTTCTCATTGGCACTCGGCGAAAGCAATGATGTTCATGATTCTGCACAACTTCTAATTTTCATTCATGGGACAAATGATTCTTTTGAAGTCACAGAGGAGCTTGCTGCGCTGAAAAGCATCAAAGGAACAACTACAGAGAAGGATATCTATGAGAAAGTTTGCCAAACTATGAATGATTTGGAGCTGGACTGGGGTGAACTATTCAGTGTGACAACGGATGGTGCTCCTAGCATGGTGGGGTCCATGAAAGGAGTGGTTGCACGC